ATAGGTGGCATCCATAGCAACGACCATTTGTGATCGCTGCTTACCTCACTATCCTTGAACCCAACATTAATCCTGGTATCTGAGTTTCTGGTCCCCAAATCTTACAATCCTCTAGATTCAGCATTTTGCCTGAACCATTTTCCTCACCAATCACCCCATCTGTTTCCTGTCTGCCATTCCTTGTCCCTTCACTCCTTCAATTCCTCCTCCTTCAAGCCTCTCTTGACTTGCCCCAGATGACTACACTTATTCCTATTTGTGCTTCCTTTCCACTCATCCAGCCTCTGCTTGGGCCTCAACTTGACCTGCCTCTGTGACCCAACCAGCTCATCAATTGGGCAGTTCCCCAGGACCCATCATCATCATCTTTTTCATCTACTTCTTCCCTTAGGGATGAAGACCTCACTATCAAAAGCAAATATACTTTTAGTGTTTTATAATATACAAAGTGTTTTTAAATAACTTCTCTAATTTCATCCTCAATGTGACCCAGGCAGGTATTGACCCTTAAACAACACAGGGACCAGGAAGAATGGTCAAGTCAGGAGGAAATACTTCACCTGGGGGCTGTCTGTCATTGTGTCCATGATGTTGACATTATACCTGCTGTTAACTCTACCAGAACACTCTCCTCTTTCCTCCCATTTATCTTTCATATCTGTGTTTGTAGTTGCCTTCTCTAGGCACCTGACCCACTCAAGTGTCCTTTTCTATGGCTGCCATGATACCATATGCCTCCCAGGTGGAACTCTCACAGCTCTTGTCTCTCAGACTTCATGTTAGCGACAACAGTGCCTGCCTTACTCGCATTGTATTTCCAGGACCAAGTATACCCAGTTCCCAGTAGATTGACAAATAAATGGATGTGTTAATACAAGTTGGTAAGTGGTTTTCTTCCTGACCGATATAATACTAGAGAACAGAGGGAAGCTGTTAACCCAGCTTAGGGCTCCTATGATAAGATGTGGTAAGGAACATGATGGGTGGCTTTGGCACAGCTTGGGTTATTCCTAGGCTTCTAGATACTTCTAGTTTAGTCTAGGTCAGGAAGTTTCCTCTTTTGGAGGAATGAGTTTGATGGCCCTTGGGTTTGATGGTGATGGGGAAGCACATGGATCATCATGCATCACCCTGTTTTCCCAACTAGTTTCAGGCCACAGGCATGTGGATCCTCTGGGATGTCCAACCATGGCAGAAATCAGGAGTATGCTAGTCTTGTTAGAGGTCTTGGTCACCACCTGACTATTCTTCTATGCATCAGTGAAATATCCACATATGCGCGGCCTGTCTTCTGGTTACCTATCTATTCCATTGTAAACAGCTGAGCTATTTTCTTATGCATGACAGTTCTATTTGCTTGTTCATCAGGACTCTAGTTTGTAGGACAAACTATGGGATGTGGAATTTCTCCCCCTTAATGTTTGGGTAGTGCCTAAATAAAGGAGAGATATACCAAAATGAGGCCCACCATCTCCCAGTAAAAAATATCTGTAACATGTACCAGACAACTCCTCTACATCAGCCATGCACAAGCACCCCATTCTGGGTACTTTTGGTGGCCTTAGGGCTGAGAATTTAACTGGGAAAAAGAAGAGCCTCCTTGATCTTGAGGTACCTCTAGACTAAAGAGTAGAAAAATTTGACTTCACACAGGTAATTACATAAAACCTCCCACAAAAACAGTTACAGACCAGCTCCATTTTGCCACAACATCCTACGCATGCTGTAGCCACTGCGTACAAGTGTCAACTCTCCTTTAGATCTTGAGCAAGTTCACACACCTAGGTATTCACTATAGCAATGGTTTCTACCTCCAGCTGATCATAATAATTTTCAAATGGATTCCCGATTCTCTCTCTGGAAATTCAAATTAAATAGGTCTAGGATCACTTTTGGGATTAGATGTCTTTAAGTGGGTTCCCAGGTCATTTCACCCTAGCCTAGTGCCATGACAAAGAGGAAGTAACCTCTGAGAACATCTAGATCAATTCCCTCATTCTACAGTGAGGATGCTAATCCCAGAGAGGGATGTTTAGAAAGAGGGAAAAAATAGAGAAACACAATTCCAAGATAGGAAGCATGATCTTAATCTCTCGTACAATCACTTGGACTTGGCCCTCATCTCTGGAAGCCAGGCCCTCCTTTCTGGCATAGTGGAATGTCAGGTGTGAGAGTCTGGCCACTTCTGTCTCACACTCTGTGACTTTGCCAATGCATTGACACTTCTGGGCAACAGTCCGTCAAACTGAAATGAAAACAATACTATACAACCTGTGTATTGCCTCAGATTACTGTGAGATTCAAAGGGGAGTCTCTCACAGATCTTTGAGCACCTTTAAAGAACTTTATAAATGGTATTTTTTAATGTAATTTTGAATCCTCAGCCTTGGTCCTAGGGCAGGGGTAGACAACCTTTTTGTGAGTGCATGCCAAAACCAGCAAAATCTCTGGCTCAAAATTCTTTTGCGTGCCAACCCTAATTTTTTGGGAACATGTTACGCCTACTTGATATCTCTTAAGGTGTAATGTAAAGAACCTTGAAGAAATAATAAAATTCATTCGAGCGACAAAAACACAGTATAAGATGATGAAAAATACATTTATTTTTTAATGTATACATGTATACTGATAGTCTGACAGAAAACTTTATGACTCCGTTTGATATTATCAGTGGGACTTTTGCTGCTGCATCACTGATGACAGAGATTTTACATCAGGTTTATATTTCGTGACCTTCAGAGATATGCACGAGCTACTACTTTCATCCGTCAGGCTACTCCTATTATGAGACTTAACAAAATTCATCACTAAGAACAAAGATTCACAAGCGTATGTGGATGAAACCAAAACACTGGTCGGATCTAGGAAGGCAGGGAGAGTTAAGGCAGAGGCATAGAAATTGCTCTTCCCCTCTCTCGTCAATCCATGTCTATGGTCTTTAAGATAACTTGATATGTAAAATTATTTATTTATCTAAGATGCACCTACACTGGATTTATCTGAAAAATAAAAAAGTCGATATTAAGAAAAAAATTATAAATGGAAGATTATAAGAGAGGGTTTCGTGTGCCAGCAAAAGTTACTGGCATGCCATGTTTGGCACGCGTGCCAGGGGTTGCCCACCCCTGTCCTAGGGACTCTTTAACTTTCGTTCAAATCTTGACATAGAAGGCAAAAGCAGAGAGTGAGCTGGAGGCAGGTGGTCAGTAAAAGGGTAGCGTGTGGGGATGGAAAGGATAACGGAAGGGTCACCCAAAGTCAGTGTTGAAGGACTGTAGGGTATCGTAAATGATGCTCCTGAGGCCACAGTTCCCATTGCCAAATGCATTTTAAACCATCCCCCAGCTTTTAAAGCATGCAGACAGAAACAGTAGACACGTGGGCTCACACAAAGAAACATGCAAAGCCCACAAAAGGACATGCAGACACACACACTCCTGGGTACGGTTTCCTCTGAACTGCTACAAATAGGCTGTAACTTTTCTCTGTGGGCCTGTCTGGAGGCTCAGAGCTGGACACTGTCAGAGGAAGTGGAACTTTGAGGCCAACTCAGACGAATCCCAGGAGAGACGAGTATGGGCCCTGAGCTTCTCTGGCCTCAGAGATGGCACTGAGGCTGGCTCCTGCACAGCCCCGGCCTGTGAGGAGCTCCAGGCCATCCGGGGCTCCCTGGCTCAGGCCCAGCCTGACTCACCTAGGCTCTGTATCAGTAGGTCTGGGGGGACACATTTGTATTTCTCACAAGGTCAGTGGTTCTCAACCTTCTGGCCCTTTAAATACAGTTCCTCATGTTGTGACCCAACCATAAAATTATTTGGTTGCTACTTCCTAACTGTAATGTTGCTACTGTTATGAATCTTAATGTAATTATCTGATATGCAGGATGGTCTTAGGCGACCCCTGTGAAAGGGTCGTTCAACCGCCAAAGGGGTCGCGACCCACAGGTTGAGAACCGCTGCCCTAGGTGATGCTGATGCTGATGCTGCTGGTTCAGGTACCACACTTTGAGCACCAGTGTGCAAGGCTGCAAGCTATCAGAGCCAACAAGGGTTCTGTCTGTCCCTTTTACCAGTGCCTTCCTAGCAAGTAAGCAGTGACTATTCATCAATCAATCAATAAATGAATGGATTTCACAGGAAGAGCCTCAGTTTTTCTTTATATAACACAGGTAGTCTCTCGTGTCCTCCACCATTGATATTGCATTACTAGATCCCTGGGGCAAGGGAAAGACATACTCAGAGCCAGGCCCTGTATTTGTGGTGCCCGCTATGGTGCTGGAGCTGTGGGGCCCTCTGGGGTTGTGGCTCTTGAGGAGGAAGTCACTGGATCAGACCTTCAGGACCCAGACCAGAGCTGCCTCCCTTTCATCTTGGTGGCCTCAGGTACTCTCTCCCTCTGGGGAAGGGATCTCCTCGGGAACACTAGTTCCCCAGCCAGTACTTGTCATCTGAAGGGAGTGAAGGAAGCGACACCCCTGGTTCTCCTGCCCCTCCAAGCCCCACCTTCATGCTGCCAAGACCAACGTGCCTAATGGGATTTGGGAGCAATAGAGGAATGAAGAGTCAGCCTCAGATGCTCCCTTTTCTAGTATGTCCCCAAAACACAGCAGATAGTTTATTCTGAAATACAGAAGAGTGTATCCTGTGCAGAGTATCCCAGAGAGCCTAGAAGGGATCCCTTCTCTGTGCCTCTGACTCCATAGAGGTCACATGGCAGTGACTACAGCCCCAGAGTACAGCTGGGTGACCTGACCAATTCGGGCTTGAAGATCTTTACCCCTAGGCTAAGGAGCAAGAGCTATCTTCCTAGATTCCTCATTCCTTGTGTTTTTTCATCCATCCTTTCTCAGCAGGGGCCAGGGACACTGAGGGGGACACAGAAAACCCACAAAGCAGACCGCCTGGTCTAGTCTAAGGAAAGTTCAGCCATGGGTAACAATAAACCCAAGAAGAAAAACAACAAAGAAAAGAAAAATAAAAGTTTATCCCAGGGAGTCAGGATCCGAGTGTAGCATCACCTTTATTGTTACATGGTCTCCTCTGGTCCCAGGCTTGGGGTTGCCCATCAGGACAGATCATGGCTCAAGCTGCCAACCAACAAACCTTGATGAGCAGCCGCCTGCCCTGGGAGAAGCAAGGGACTTTAGGGATATTCTGACTCCACTCCAATGGGAGTTTACAATCTAGCTGGGCAGGTCAGACAGACAACAGACACACCTGAAAAATAAAATAGTTCAAGAGATGTTGCAAGGCACTTGCCAAATGGATGGTGTGGATGATGCAGTGCGTTCTAGGAAGTCAGCGCAGGCTTCTGAGAGTAGGAACAAAGCAGAAAAGGCTCCAAGGAAGAGGTCTTGAAAGATGGGTTGGGTTTCAGATACTGGGAGTAGCGGAGAAGTGGTCCAGGGGGAAATGGACAGAGGCTTGGAGGCAGGGATGGCTAAGGCATGTCCTGGGGAACACCCAAGATGTGCCCTGGTTGTGAGACTGGTCTGGCTGGAACAGAGGATGCTTATGGGAGAGGAGTGTGAGGTGAGGCTGCAGAGGTGTCTGAGACGCAGGTGTGGGTCCTGTGATGACATGCAAAGGACGTCGCCTCTGCAGCAGGGGGCCTCGGACTATCTTTGGAGCATTGCAAACAGGAGCACGGCAATGGTGACTGCTGGGAAAGGAGGAGCAGCGTTGTCAGGGCAGGAGGAGGCGGGGATGTTTCAGCCGCGCTTCCTTTAAAAGTAGGCGCTCTTTACTTCAGCATAGTTCCCGCCTTTCGCTCCAACAGAGGCACCTCCTTGGTCTCCATAACCGCCCAGACCCTGCGGCTCTGGGAACACATCACAAGGTCCATGGCTAGCATCACCCTCTCCGCACTGTGTATAAGCAGCTGGGCCGCAGCTGGGGGCCTCCATGTCTAGGCGGCCTGGGCGGGACTCATGACAGCCGAGGTCTCCGGAGCCCGGCATTGGATTTGGGCCTGAGCAGGGCCTGGGGCAGCGCTGAGGCTGCACACAGGGCTCTGGGCTTGAGCAGCGTGGCGGGAGGGGAATTGGCTCCCGACAAGGCTCTGGAAACTCACACCGCGTTGGGCCAGATCGTGGGGCTGGACGCGGGGCTGGTCTTGGTTCCGGACACAGGCAGGGCTCGGGAAAGCACTGGGGTGGAGAACACCAGCGGCGCTCCGGGCTCGCACACGGCGCTGGGCGTGATGGACGCGGCGCAGGACGTGGGCCCCGCGGCAGTGACGGCTCTGGACATTGGTCAAAACTCCGGGGCGGGCAGAAGCTTGGGAGTGGACGCGGCTCGGGACGTGGTCTCAGCTCCGGGCAGGAGGACCCCCAGGATGGTCGTGGAGCACAACTCTCAGAGCAGCGTCCTATGGGAGGGATCTGAACGGGACACCGCTGCGGGGGCACCTGCCTGGGGCAGGAGGGCGAGGAAATCTCTATGCGGCACCTGGGCCCACGTCTCTGGGAGCAGCTGGAAGTGGGACGCTGAGCACCGCCGCTGTGATAGATGGGCTCAGAGCGGCGGGGTGGGGTGCAGTAGTTGTAGGAGCCCGAATCACATCTTGATGGCACGCAGCTGCTGTAGTAGGGCTCGGAACGCCGTGGAGGGGAGCAGCTGCGGTAGGAAGGCCGCATCTGGCAGGGTGGCGAGTAGCTCTGGTAAGAAGGCCGCATCTGGCGGGGTGGGGAGCAGCTGCGGTAGGAAGGCCGCATCATCTGGCGTGGAGGGAGGCATCTGCTGGTGCTCCTAGCGCGACGCTGCATGGGGAAGCCCCCATAAGAGCCCTGGCTCTGGCATGGGGGTACATAAGTGCGACATGAAGCCCGGGACTGACGCTGGGGGGCGCAGCTGCCGAAGGAGCCCTGATATTGGCACTGGGTGGAGAATCTTCCTTGAGTCTGGCATGCTGAGGGGTACGCTACATACCTCTGGACAGGCTGGGGAGCTGGGTAGGGTACATAGGTTTGGACGGGACATTCCACGTAGCGAGTTTCTGTATAACAAGCTGGAGCACATTCTACAAAGCAGGTCTGAACAGGGCATGGGGCTCCATACTGCACGTAGCAAACCTCAGGCTGGCATGCAGCCTGGCTGATCACCTGCGTGGTCTGGGACTGGCCTGGAGCCTGACCCTTCACGCTGGCGGTCTGAGACTGGCCGGAAGCCTGGCTGTTCACCTGAATGGTCTGGGACTGGCAGGGAGCTTGGCCCTTCACCTGGGAAACTTGAACTGGGCATGGTGCAGGGCACTCCATGATTTGCATCCCACAAGGGCCTTGAACTACCACCTGGCCCTGGGGAGACGGGTACGGGGAGGGGAAGAAGGAGGAACCCTTCACACAGCACTGGGGGAGCGGCAGGCAACACGGAATCTGTTGCTGGTCACACATGGTTCCGGTGCAGACGTGTGAGCAGGACCTGAGGGGTAGAAAGACCAGCTTTAAGAGGGTGAGATTTGGGGAGGAGGGCCCAAGACCAAGGGAAGACACCCTGCTTCCTCCCTGGCCTTTCTTCCCCAACCCTCGACCTTCGTTCCAGAATACTTGCTGAGTTGTCTGGACCCAAAATTACTCACTGTTGCCCAAGAAAGCTGCCTTGGATCTGCTGAAAGACCTGACGGAGGACAGCTTCAAGGGCACAGCTTCAAGGGCACAGCCAGGGTTGCAGGTGTCTGGCCTCTTTCACTGGAGGCTGGGCATACCAGTGTCCACCACAGGAGGGCGCTAACAACAGGAAGTTTCCCATCACCTCCTGGTTTCCTAAGTGGTGGGAGGGAGCTCTACAGAAGTGGAGGCCACCCATGCTCCCAGGCTGTCGTCCAAAGTGGGGACTCCCCAACCAGAGGAGCTTAAACTACTCAGACACATGTACTGTCCACACATGAAAAAAAAATGTGTATGTAAGAACAAGCACTCAGGCACCATCTGTGCTCAAAGTATCCACTGGAGAGTAAAGAATTCAGTTAGTGATTGGGCAGCTCAATCCCAACATAAAATGTTTGTTTCTCTATAGTCAATTCTTCTTAGGTGAACTTGTTTAAACTGGCCCTCATGGGCATCGGTAAAAGACGTACATACAAAACACCAGCCTCGGAAAGGCTCAGGACCAACATGACAACTTGCCCAGCCAGGTTGCTGTCCTTACTCACCTGCCAGCTTCAGAAAGGGCCACTCTGCAGCCCCTCTGAGAGGCAGGGTGGAGTTACTTAACAGGGGGTAACCCACAAAGTGCCAGGTTCCTAATTAAGAGACTGACATTCACCCACGCTTAAAGCCCACGCAGCAGGAGCATCACAAATGTGAGGTGGGGGACACAGGCATACCACCCAACACCATACCCAGAGGGCAGTCCCCCCCACCCTCCCCAAGTCCAGCTGTTCAGGTACAGGCAGCCCAGTGACCAGCATAGCAGGGAGGCTGGTTTGATAGCTCACCCAACAAAACACTTCTCAATAAGCTCCTGAAATACTGAAAATACTTTCCGTGAAGGGCAAAGCCTTCCGTTCTCCATGTATAGAGAATATCTAAACACACGTGCCCTTGGGGAAGGTAACCCTTCTACACCCAACTCTGCTCACGGGGTGCAATTACTAATGCACCTTTTCTAGGGAGAGAGGTCCTGAAGAGAAAAAATGGTACCTGAGGATGAGACCAGGGTTATTGAAGGCAAATACGCTTACTTCAGTGCCCTATTTCTTCACACAGACTCCACAGATACCCTTCTTTTGTCCCCTGAAAGTCCACCGGAGTGTTCTCCTCCGGCTGATAGACCAGTCCTCCTTTGCTCCCAGCTTCCCCCCTCACTATGTCTCACCCTATGAATCTGAACACCCCAGCATGAGCTTCACCCAACCCCAGGACCCTGCCCCTAGACTTACCTTCTTCAAGGCAAGCAGTCATTCAGACTGAGGCATCTGGACAGAAGGCTGTCTTTATATAAAGGGTTCCGGGTCTGGCTTAGACCATGAGACAATTGGTTGGCATCTGCCTGGCTCATCACCCAGGTTGGCATTCCAGTAGCCAGTCCCCTCCCTGTGTGCCTGTCCTTGCAGTCACCTCCAGGGTGTGGGAGTGTCTCACCTCAGTGATGAAGCCTCTGGACTACAGAGGAGCAGATTCTTGTTCTCTTCCCCCTTTCTCACCCTGTCTGTTTCTCCCTCGCCCTTAGAAGAGCTGGTGGTGGGGATGAAGAGGGTTGACAAAGGGACCTGTTCTCCTGAATGATGACTCCAGGCTCCTACCTTCTTCCTTGTCTGACACTCTCACCAAATGGATATCAAAGAAAAGCTCCCTAACCGGAAGCAGCTAACATCACCACAAAGGTACAGAATGAAGAGAACGTTGGGTTTGAGATGAATCTGACATCCCAGGTTGGCTACTTACAGTTGTGTGCCCTTTGTAACTGACTTAAGTTTGACTCAATTATCTGCAAAATGGAGATATTAACTCTTCTTTGCTGAGCTATTGTGAGGATTAAGGCAACTATTTTATGCAAAAGCATCCAATCAATAATGATATTCACAATATCCAACATCCACTCAGAGTAACTGGGGACCACGCAGCAGACATAGCTGGACTGATGGCTGCCTGTGGTATCCCAGTCCTGGGCTGAACCACCTGATGCCATCACAGAAGGTGCACAGCTAATGCTATGGAGTCGTCCTTCAAGAGAGCAGTGCAGTGCAGGACAGAAATAATACACTGACATCTTGTGAGCCAGATGCAGCCAAGATGCATATCTTCTTATCTTTCGCCTAAATCATTTTTGCTCACATAGTGTTTTAAGTAACCATGGATATTTACAAACCGAGAGTTTTGTTTTGTTTTTTAAGATTACCGACATCTAGTTTTCTCTCAAAATTAAAAGATCAGGCATAGGTGGGCCCACCTAACTTCAACCTAATTAACATTTGCCCCTCTTAGGTAGGTCATATACTTTGATATTCTGTAATTCTCCATCTTTTTTATTACTGTATCCACAATGCAATGCAAAGGGCAAACTTCCTTTTATTATTTTACCTGATTCTTATTTTTCTTTGGTGAAATTAAAAGGGAAGTGACATAATCCTTCCACCTGGATAACTTCATTTTTTTTTTTTATGTAACTATTTAGCCCCTATCAGCATTTAAAATTCTAGCCAAAAAAAAAATTAAAAAAAAAATTAAAAAAAAAATTCTAGCCAAGCTTGTGAGCAGGGACTTTAGATTTATAGAGGTTTGGGGTTGAATCTGAGCTCTAGTACTTGCTAATGGGGTGAAAGCTACTTAACCTTCATGAGCTTAGATTACTTACTTATAAGACAGAAAGAAGAATAATAAGGAGGATGAAAAGAAGGAAGGAAAGAAGAGAAGTAAAGAAAGAAGAATTAGAAAAGTCACAGGATTATTGTGTGAATTAAATGAAATAACTAGTCTAAAATTTTAGTTTTTAATTAGCCATTTAGCACTCTGGACTTTAGTTTCCTCTTGGAAAGATGGGAGTGAAAATGCTTCACCAAGTTCTCATGAAGATAGAATCAGATAATGGGTATGAAAGTGTTTCCGGACCTAGAGTGCACATGCCAACTATAGCTATGAAATCCCTTCCATGAGGAAGTGACTTTAGAGTCCAAGTTCTGGATCTTATCACTCATTACAAAGAGGTGTCCAGATGACATTTCAAACTTGAGTAGTGTCAGAGACTTTCAAAATGACAGAGCAACAAGGAATTACCTGGTCCCATTCTGTCATTCTCAAGATGAGGATAAGCCCAGAGAGGGAGAGTAACCTATGCGGAGACCTAAAGCTAATGACTGCCTTGGAGTGACCATATCTCAGGTAGCTCTAGTCCCAAACAAGGACTCTTTCCACTACTACAGAGAAGTTATTTCTCTGATCACATCATTTGCCAAGGTGCTACAAACTTCGATAGCTCTGGGACTTGATCCTGGCTAATCATAAAAGCAGTGAAATAAGAAAGTTGAGAACATAGACAAGATGGCCCAACCAGAATGTGAATTACTGAATCCTAATAGCTGTTTCTCTCCCACTCATCTCTTGATAGAATATGCACTTCTTGAAGGAGGAATCTCTATCTTATTCATCTTGGTATCTCCAGACTCCTGACTTAATATGAATCTGTTGATTGATGGATAGATAGATAGATAGATGAGTGGAAAGATGGTAGAAATTGGGCTTGGTTCACACATCTTAAACCACTGGACAATGAGTTATTATTGTTCAATCCAAAGACCAAAGACCACTACAACTCTTGTTACTTCTTGCTTCTTACAAAGATAAGTGGGACAAGGATGGGGAGAGGTAAATTCTGCAGTTGACAATGAGGCCAGGTAATAGAATTTTCAACCATATAATTTTAGAGCCCAGTCACCAAGCAAAAAAATAAAACATCTAACCCCTGACATTCTTCCTTCTTTGATATGAAAGGTCCTAGAATTAGAAAATTGTCATTGGTTAAAAATGGAATTAGTACTGAGATTGTCTAAAGGTGGGGGTAGATATAGCGCATTCCTTTGTTCTCCAGGGAGGTTTAAAACTCTTAGAAAAGGCATTCTTTATTTGGAGATGTCTTAAAACTAAATTGTCTCTTTGGATAAAACTTTAGTATGGCCTTCTAATCTCTGAGCCTACTATATGTTTTATCACTGTCCCTGCTTTATCTCAAGTTTTCATAATCCCCTAAATGGACTGGTGCAATAGTCTCCTCACAGTTTTCTCTGCCCCTTGTCTTTCCTTCTTCCATGTAACTTTTAAAATAGCCTCAAGGCTGATCTTAAAAAAATGACCCCAATCTTCAACACCCCACACAACACCAAAAAAATATATATCAAATAAAGCCATACATGGTGGCTTTCATTCTCTATATATATCTTGATGTTCACTATGGCAGACCTTTGCAAATGTTATTTCCTCTTTCTGGAACGTGCTTTCATCTTTCCTTTATGTATAGAACTATTGCTCATCATTTGAAACAACTCCAATGTCATTTCTTTTGTAATGTTTCTTGACTCCCCAAAGCCATGACTCAATATTTTATGTTCTGGCAGCACTTTAGACACACCCATCATCAGAGCTATCACGTGTTCTCTGATTATTTACATTCTTGTCTTCCACACAACCTATGAGTCCCTCCAGGAAAAGAAGTCTGTATCCCAGAAACAGGCACTGTATCCAGTGCATAGTTTTCATTTCACCTTGTTGATTAAGTGATTTAATTCCATGCATGCAAACATACACACACTCATGCATATTCATGCATACATATAAGTCTAACATATGTATATATTTACACTGCATTTTATAAATTGATTGGTTTCATTATCTACTGAAATATAATAAATAGATATATGATAATATAAAGGCCAGATTAAAAGTCACAATAAGTAGCAAAAGACATAGAGGATTATAGATAAATAGACAGATAGATAAATAGATAGATAGATAGATAGATAGATGATAGATAAAAAATAGGTGTTATGGTTATCTCCAGAGAGAGGTTATTACTTTTAGGGAGAAATATAAAGGCTATTTAGATAGAGGGGGCTGTTAGAAATAGGAGTGTAGGGTGAAATATAAATGGCTAGAAATATAATGCTATAAACCTAGGAATATGTGATAATGTGGTGATTTACAAATATGATATAAAGATATCAAGAGAGCTAAATATA